AATCAACAGGTTCCTAACCATGAACCTTGCTCCCTGAAATGTCAATCAAATCATGTCATTGCCCACCTTGAGCTTTTCCATGGCTTCTGGCTGCATTATATGCACATTATAATTAATTTCAAACTCCAGGGAGACTTCAGCAACTCTCTGGGACAGCCTCAGGACCAGCCTTTCCCTCTTGCCTTTCCTACCTTCCTACAGATCAGCAGAGCAGAGATGCTGTCCTGCCGAGAAGCTGCTGGGTGCCCAGCATCACCTGTGGAGGCCTTACCCAGAATGTTGCAGCAGGGACATAGCCTAATCCTGGGAATAAGCAAGATTCTACACAGAATGTAGTCATGGCAACACCCATAAACCCAGGAGTCCTGTGCTCTCTGGCTGCACCCAGGGCTCGGACAGTCTGTACACTTCTTCCACGCACAACACTTGGCTATAGCTTACTGTTCTAATAGAAATTCGTGCCAGGTCCTGCACTGGGCCCTCCGATGTGGTGGTGGCTGAAATCAGCATTGCCCCTTGAGGCACTGACCTTATAGTTGGAGTAACAGGGAGAAAGCATTATGAACACAGAATAGTAAACCACTGGGTCCCCGAAATCTGTGATATCAGGGAGTGAGGCCTGAGCATTCAGTGTTCAGCACTCTGCTGGATGAACAACAGGAACATGAAAGCAGAGACAGGAGGGGCAGTGTCAAGGCCCTGAGGCTGGGATCCGGAGAGACTGAGGAGGAAGAACACAACTATCTGAGTTCTTGCTTTGTCCATGCTAAGTGCCACCTCACCTAGCGTGTGAGGCCTGTGCTGCTTCCTGAGAAGAGAGGCTGAGAGACTACACATCACCAATGTCCAACCAATAACAAAGTGACTTTTTTCCTCTTTTTAAAAATTTTTTCTGAAAGACAATATGAAATAGATACTGTGTATAGACACTAGAACTAGTGGGGACAGCAAGCAACCAAAACAATTTCTCAGCGTCCTCAGTCCAGTGGGAACAGCCCACCAATTTCCCAGAGTCCTCAGCCCAGTGGGGACAGCCAACCAGTTTCCCAGAGTCCTCAGCCCAGTGGGGACAGCCAACCAATTTCCCAGAGTCCTCAGCCCAGTGGGGACAGCCAACTAATTTCCCAGCGTCCTCAGCCCAGTGGGGACAGCCCACCAATTTCCCAGTGTCCTCAACCCAGTGGGGACAGCCCACCAATTTCCCAGTGTCCTCAGCCCAGTGGGGACAGCCCACCAATTTCCCAGAGTCCTCAGCCCAGTGGGGACAGCCCACCAATTTCCCAG